GTTGTTTTTGTTATTTTAATTTATATCACTTAATCTCTATCAAATCGAAAAATAATGGAACAAAATAAAGAATTAACTAAAAAATAACGCGAAGCCATATTTTACTGCTACTAACGCAATGATAGTTACCGGACTATTGCAAAGATCGTTAACTGTGAAAAATTAACTGTTTGTGATACATTAAAAAGAGCTAGCATTACAGGATCGACTGAATCAATGCCTCGCTCTGGACGACCATCCTTGATTACAATTCCTCAACGTAATCACCTCAAACGAATCATTACAAATGATAAAACTAAAAATTGTCGTCTTTGTACTGCTGGAGTGCAGCAACTTTGGAAAAAAAAGTCTGGACAAGATGTTTCAACCTAGACTATTAGACGAGTTCTCCATTCAGCTAGATTAAGAAACTGTATTACATGAAGAAAACTTTTAATTTCACCAGTGAACATAGAAGCACGTCTCGCATGGTGTTTAGAGCACCAAAGTTGGACAAAAGAGGATTGGTCAAAGGTCATATGGAGTGATGAATCGACCTTCTCTCAATTCTAACAAAGTCGCAATAGCAGGGTGTGGCGAGAATCAGCAGATGAGTGGGCTTTATCCTATATATTAGCCACAGTAAAGCATAGCCCAAGCCATATGTATTGGGACTGTTTTTCTCGAAAGGGAAAAGGGCCAATTGTTGTATTATCTGGAACAGCAAATGGTGAATCACATGTTACCATTCTTCGTAAATATGTAATGCCAGCTATGAGACGAATATTTCCTAATAATGATGGCTGGTTCCAAGAAAATAATGCCCGTCCACACAAATCGAAAGTTGCAATGAATTTTCAGGCAGAAAATGGTTTTCTTACATTAACTTGGCCAGCCCAAAGTTCTGACCTCAACCCAATTGAAAATTTATGGGCTGAGATTAAAAAAAACATTCGTGCATATAAAAAACCACCATCAAATCTTGCTGACCTCGACCGATATGTTAAAAAGGCATGGCGAGAAATTCTGATGCATACTATTAAAAATTTAGTTGATAGCATGCCACAGCGAATTCAGGCTGTGATTACGGCAAAGGGAGGCCAAACCAAGTATTAAAAGCTTAATATGAATTGTATGCCTTAACCAGCTCTAAATAAAATAATATTAGAACTTTTACTATTAATGCTAAAGAATTATCAGTTTTATATTTGGTAAAAAAGTGTCCGAAAACTTTTGATCACCCTCTGTAATATTCTGTGGGAGTGTTTCTTAAATTGATTGTGAACCGTGGTTTATTAAATATATTTATAACTTTCTGGGTAACAGAATTGAATTAATAACGATTACTAAGAATATACAGAACTTGCTTTATATATTCTTAAAAAATATTTTGATGTATATGCGAAGTCTATCATTATCACTGTTTTAATCTACTAAATATTGATTTTTTATTTTAATCGAGTCAAAATCCAAACATAATTTTATAAGAATGTTAATTAAAACTTTTATAATTTTAAGAATTAAAATTACTCCCTGAATGTGCTTACATTCCCTGTAGTTAATTATATATAATTTTGCAAATCAACTTTTTTTTTATTTTTAGAGTGGATGCATTCTTCGAATGTTCAAATTCTTTCACATCCTACCTGTAACATAAACATTTTCTATGATATTACTATTTATTATTTCTTTATATACTATTTCGTGATAATTCGTAATTTTAAAAGGATAAAGTCAAAATTTGTAATACACAATATGATGAAATATCTAATACCGCTTTATACGATTTCATTTTCTTTATCTCTATTATATGGTATATCATCATTATATTTATATTCCAATGTGCAATCTTGATATTTTACTAATTAAAATGGAGAAAAATAAGCAAAGCATATCGATATATTCTTGTCAAAAAAAAAAAAAAATAAATAAATACTTACAATAAAATCCAAAATCATTGCCAAAATTTCTTTGACATCTAATTGTATTTAACGTTTGCAAAAGAATCAATATCAAACTAAAACAACCTTATTTTTTTTTAAAAAAAAAGATTAGTAATTAGCAAACGTTCTTTAGAATAACATCATTAATTCTTGTACAAGAAAAAAAATTTACTTATTATAAAGACGATTATGTAAAACATATTTTGATGAATTAATTTTGCTATGCTGCATGATGCTTCAGCTGATAATTCACTATCACACTAACTTAAGACCTTAACCACAATTATAATGATCACCGAAACATTTCCAAGATGTATTAAACACATTAACTTGTGAGATTCATCCCTAATCTAGACCATATTAAAAATTCTTTATGTTAATAGGAAAAAAATAAATCGAACGCAGGTAAGAAATCGTATGAATTTTGATGAGCTTACGGCTTTGGGAAAAAGTAAAATATATAATTGTAGAATGAAGAACCAAGGAATTGAATTTAAATATATTGCACCAGATGCATGACCAAACGCCTTCAGATACAATTCTAAGAGAAATATATTAAAGTTCCAATAATTATATGCCGAGAATCCGACAAAGAAAGATTGTGCGTACATTAAAGTGAGTTGAACTTGGTACGTTTTATACATTTCTAATTATATAATAAAAAGTTATATTCAAAATAATTTATTAATAAAAAGCTAAACAAAAACACGGTACATATTTTTACATGCCTTTTATATGATTATTCTTCGTATATATGCATCCTTTAAAAAAAGGCCAAGTCCTATATAGGAAATACATTAGTTAGAATTTAAAGAAATAAATGTTTTAATTCAAATTTTTAAGTAATACTTGGATGTGTCACCTAGTTTTCCATAATAGCGTTAAAGATAGAATGAAGATCAAAACGGATATTGAGTTAATACAAAGAAGAATCCCCTGAAGCTTTGCGTTAATTTTTAACGCTTTTCTGTCAAAAAACATCGACAAGATTGATACATTATAACATTCAGTATTTGCGCATGATGAAGTGAATTTTAATATCATTATCGATGGTATAAGTGAATAAATATTAATTGAACAGTAAACAATGCCATGCGATATTGTTTTTTGATGAAACTACATATAAAAGAAATGATTGATAACTTTAAGATGGTTGATGACAAAGTATCTGTAAACTATATAATTTACATGCGGTTATATATCCAGAAATAAAGTAAAATAGTAAATGTCCCAATTGAAACCAAACCGTTGAAGATATAAATGAACTATATAAAGAATACGAGTAACTATATATGCAAAAATTCAGAATTTGATTACTGATTGTTGCAAACAAGAATATCTTTTCAATTGTTGTATAACTCGAGAGAAATCGATAAGAATCTATCTTTTTATTTGATGCTATATCTTTACGACTCATCGTGAGTGAAATTTGATGTTAAGGAAAAAGAGGAATGAATGAATGAAAGAAAAGAAATATGAAAATTTCAAAGCAATAGGGTTTGTTTGCTTTTAAAGTTATCAATTTGACAAAATTGGAAATTTCGGGTATTACCAGAAAGCTTGCAGAAAGATTTTTTAAATTCATTTATTACAATTAATGATACCCGTTATATTTATTCTTCACCCGAAACATTAAACTAATTGAATTTCGATAATTCAATTGAACCTAACACTCATTATTTTATTCATCTAATAAAAAAAAATCTCGAATTAAAAAAAAATTAGGAACCTGATGGATTTTAGTAAAATGATAATGGTATATTGTTTAATTTAATTAATAAGAGAATTCCAATTTGCCTTCATTATTCATTTTTTTCTTTCCTTTAAATAAATATACGAGATATTCATGTATATAGCCTATTTTAACATATTCTTTAGTCAATATTCTTTTTAAATTTTCTTTTAAACCTTTCTACTAAACGGTAAATATTGCTAAATATGATCGGTCATGTTCGGCCTCATTTATAATTTAAGATCATTAAAAAGAGTCGAGTATAATTAATAATTTTCACGTGGATACACAACGCACCGTAGCGTGATTACATATAATTAAATTCTACATTTACTCTATTTCCATCAGTTAATTGATGACTTGCACCTCCAATTTCCGCATTACAATCCGGACATCTACTCGTTTCCATAGCTCTACCACATTCTCCGATCGTATACTAAAAAAAAAAAAAAAATGAAAAATGATACATCAAAACTTGTTTAATTCATAATAATAAATTTTCAAATTACTTACCGGATGACCATTTGGACACTCATACCAATGTCCTATATAAACAACAAAAATAATGGTGAAATAGATAAATCATAAAAGTTATATACTATGCATTTATTATATAATTGACATACATACCTGAACTTTGAAATTCTGTATTCATTGCGCGATGGACATCTAATTTTTCTTCAATACTTAAAGTTTTGCTCAGATTCTCGGCACAAATTACAACTTCATCACATTTGTTCGATAAATTTTCTAACCTCACATGAATGCCGCTCTTGAGTGTCTCTTCAGCATTATTATATCCTTCACTTTTAAGTATATCTGCGATACTTTCCTTAATCCTTTCACAATTTTCTATAATTTTCGTTCGAAGTGCTTTATCAACAACGCCACTTTCATTAGGTGGATATCTCAATTGATACATAATCATTTTGAGATCAAATTCCAATATTTCTACATTGACTAAAAGTAGATGTCTACCATAATGAGTAGATTCTGCTATACCTTTAAATGTAATTAGTTGATCTTGAATAGAAGTTTGTAATCTTTCGGCAAATTTTTTCCAAACATCTTTAATATTTACGGAATTTTCGAGTGTTAAATTAATTTGCTTTTTGGAGATTTCTTGAATTATAAATAAAACTTCATGGAATTGAATTTTTTGTATGTTGATCATCTCAAAAAGCGTGTCCAAATATATTCGATTATCTACTTGTGGTATTGAAATTCCTATTTGAGAGAACGTTTCTTGTAATATTAAAGTTTCAGTATTTTGAGGATCTTGAACCTTAAGGTTTGATAATCCAACTGTTAAATCCTTTTTGGCAATCTTCTTTGCCAATTTGGTTCGGTATCTATGAAATAATGAAAAAAAAATATATATATATAAATATTTATTGATTATATTTTAACGAACCATTTATTTATACTTACAAACTTGAGACGGCAGCTTCATAAGCTTTTTTATGAGGTGGTCTTTGTGTGGCACAAAGAATAAAAGTTAATTTCTTATAATATTTTAATAATTTTCCAACATGAATTATCCAAACTTTTTCACTATTCTCTTCAAATCCATGATATTTTTTAACGTTTTCAAAATATTGAAACGGTGTGATGTTGGGTAATTCATCACTAATAACACGATATTCTTTCAATACGACGCCTCTTGGTCTCGAATCAACGTTAGGCAAACTAATCAAATCAAATTTTAATTGATCTCGCTTATATATCATTCTTTCTTCAATTGAAATAATTTGTTGGGTAATTTCTTTCAGTTGTCTATCATATTTTATTAGGAATTTTTTGTTTTGTATGTCTAGGGTGCATTTTTTGATTATCCTTCCATATCTCCTAATATTTTTGATTGGTGCTCGACACTCTGGACATGTTTTGATATTAATTGGTGAAGTTGGAAGATTTTTAACAGATATCCATATCTCCTTTGAAACCTCATAATAATTTTCCATCTCCATATAATTATCCATAGTTGTCATGGTGTATACATGTCCACAAGAAAGGATGATCATCCTTTCCTTATCCCAATCTATCTCACCAAACGTAGTATTTTCAATTAAATCTGGAACTGTTTTTTTTTATAGATAAATTAATAATATAAAGTAAATCCATCTTAATAAATAATAATAAATTACTTACCTTGACTTTTAATATTTTCAGGAGCACAGATAGCGCAATAATCTTTTGAAGGACAAATATCTCCGCAAACTCCGACACATTTATGTCCACATTTCAATTTTTTATTACATTTTTCATTACAAGGTAATCTGTAACAAGGAGCTCCGCAGCTCAGCTCACAATTTCCTTGATGTTCACATTCCCATGAACATTTTTCTGCGCAAACAGAACAAGGTTCTAGACATTTTACATTACATGATGTGTGTTCACATAAAACAGTACATTTATTATTACACGGAGAACACAAGGTTCCATCGTGGCAAGGTTGTCCACATGTATGCCCACAAAATAATACCCTTTTACATAACTGCCTACATTTTCCGTGCTTTGTCCTTTCAATAGGGATGATTCCTTCTGTTTGCTCTTCGTCTTCAGGTTTATCTTGTGGCGCCGAAAGTTTTTGACACTCAAAACATTTATTTACACATGCATGGCCACATTCCAAAAATTTTCCACATTTCTTACTACACTTAACATTATCAACAGATTCAAAACACTAAAAATTCAAATGTTAATATTTATGCTTCATTCCGGAAAATGAAATTCACCGCATAAAATAATAAATATTTACTTACGTGAACGACTTCCGAGTGTTCGCAACAAACTAGTTGTTTTTCGATTTGAACCAAACATTTGATTTTGTCTTTAAATAGACTATGACTTTCCCAACATTTGGCGTTTTTTAACTCGTGCCCACAATGTAATATCATGTCACCTATAGAAAATTTACATTTTCCGCAATCTTCAAAACAAAGATTTTGACATGGATGATTACATCCCAGTATCTTTGAACAAGGTTTTTGACATTTAATTCCAATATGTTCGGGATCATCTGAATGACACTTATAAGCACACGCGTGTCCGCAAGAAAGCATTGAACCGCATGGCTGAAATGAAATTTCGTGTGAAAAAGTCGATCATTTAAAAAACAATTCACCTCTAATAGAGCAACAATTGATCTTACCTTGGAGCATCCTCCATCTGGGCTATATTTAGCGAAGTCTTCGGGTTCAACAATTTGCTCATAGTAAGAATGCTGATTACATACGATCGGCATACCAAACCCAACTTGGTTTCGATTACGTAAGATTTTAATTACACGAGCCCACATATCAGATTTAGATGACATTAATTCAGAGTTACCAATGAGATACATTCCTTGTCGAGCACGTGACAACAATACATTACTTCTATTCGGACTTTTCAAGAATCCAATAGAATCATCACCAGACTCGGAGAAATTACGAACTAAAGAAACGATGACTATGTTTGCTTCTTCGCCTTGGAAATTATCAACAGTTCTTAAAGTAACCTTTTGTTGCAATGATATTTCCGAAGCAACACCAATATTTTCATCAGCATTATCTTTTTCATTGTTAACAACAACAATAATATCATCATCTTCTTCATCATCTTCTTCATCAACTTGTTGTTCATCCATTTCAGCAAGATTTTGCTCATCTCTTTCATCGATGATCACAACAAATGATTCAGCTAAAGCGTCTCGGATTTTAATCATTTGCCCCAAATAAGGAGTAAGCACAGCTATATCATCAGATTTAGTATATCCGTTCCTAACGAAATATTTGACCATTTCCACCACCATTTGAACTTCATATGTATTCGCGTGTGATTGCATTGCAAATTCACCATCAGAATCATCTTCTGGACGTCTATGATCAATAAAATACACATTATGTTGGGCTCCGCGTATATTTGGATATTCGGAAGTATTCTCTCCATCTATTAAATTTCGATAAACGGCGGTATTCTCGCCATTTCGATAAAGGGTATATCTAATTAAATCGGAAATTTCTTCCTTCCTCATACGTCTCTGAGTTAATAGTTGAGCTTTCTCTAACTTAACCGCTTTATCGCCTCGAACTAATCTCTCAAATAATGATTTATCTAGTTGATAATTTTTTCCTAATAATGAATCCATACTAAGAGAATAAGTGGCGAGTTTCGGTCGAAGTTGATTAGGATCGCCGATCAATATTATATGTTGAGTCGATGGAGTCAACGCGCTAAGAATATGCGCTTCAAGCACCTCCCCAGCTTCTTCACAAATGATAATTCTAGGTCCTATAGATCTAATTAGATTTTGAAATTTGGCTGCCCCATTTGTGGTCATACCAATAACATCACTACTCAATAATGCTCGCCGACTTCCTTCATCATAAATATCGCACATTTCTTTACGTTTTTCATCATGTCTCCTTTGTAAATTTGATAGGTTTACTATAAATTCATGATGAATCTGTGTACGCCAATGATCATGAAGCCTTTTTCTTTCTGTCCTTGACATATTCCAAATTGAATAATCATTTAATAATACACTTAAAGGACGATTGGTATTCGGTTCTTTGTAATTATTGATCCATTGTATAGTTTCATAGTCGGTTTGTCCATCATCAACACTAATGTTCCTCCCACTTTCTTCATTTTCCCTTAACGCATCATATCGATTATAATTATTACGCTTCTTCTTTTTCTTTTGAGATTTCGACAAAATTGCTTTTCTCTTGTTTATTGCTTCAATATCCTCTCCGTTTCTCCATTTCTCGAATACAGTCAAATTTCTCTTCCGTCTATTTTGAACAAGCCTAAAATCATCATTAGTTTCCAAAACCCAATTAGGTAAATCATCATCACGAACGCGACGAAGTTTATTATAAAACGGTTTATATTCAGTCATCAGGTATTCTTGTACATCAGCCCATTTCAACCATCTTTTGTGTAAAATATTTCTTACTTCGGTTGCTTTTTGTTCAATTTCTTCTAATGATCGATGTAATTTTGATATGAAATATGATTGCTTTCCATTTCGAATATGATTTTTACAAACTTCTTCCAGGCTAAACCCTTTAATTTTTTCAGATTTTGTACGTGAACCTAATCTAACAATATTTGTTATGTTTTCATCAAGCAAATGCTATGAATGCAAAGTAAAAAAAAAAAAAATAAGTGAAAATGTGAATAATTTTATTGTGTAGGTAACAAATCAATGTTCATGAACGTACCTCCAAGAATTGATCAAGAGCATGATTGGTAAAGCATATGGTGAGAATAGGACCAATTCTTGCTTTTCGATTTTCTTCAGCTAATAATACTTTCATTATTTCAACGCCAACAACCGTTTTTCCGGTGCCGGGTGGACCTTCGATTAAAGCAATCTCGCGTGTTAAAGCGGATACCAATGCATCCGCTAAATTATGAAGTTTTAAATAATAATAAAAAAAAAAGTATAATTAGCTTTGTGACAAACACTTAAAGAAAGTTTCCTTCTAGTGTCCCAACATGTAATGTAATTAATTACCTTGAGTTTCATCTAATTTGCTATGTCGAGAAAGATTTTTTGCTACTTCATCATGACTACTTGAATCGGCAACATTTAATTTCATATTTGGAGTTTGGTCATAATTCGCGCATAAAACCGACAAATCAAATTCAAATCCAGGTGCTCTAGAGTATAATGGTGGTTCAACTTTAACGTCATTTGACCCTTCCTTATTCTTTCCTTTCCTATCGGCTAAGTTATCAGAATTAGGCGCAAGATATTTTTCAAAAGGGAGAGAGGAAGGATTTGTAGATTGAAGTGTTTTAAGAATATAATTGTAAGCCTCAAAATAAACTCCTGTTGTTTCAACCATGAATCTTTGTCTTAAAGTTTTATTTAATCCATTATTGATATTTGAAATTTCATTTAACGCGATAGGGTAAATGGATGGATCAATAAAATGGATATCAATATCGGCAAATTTAGCATGTTTGGCTAAAATCTTCTCATCCCTTAATAACACCACTCCAAAATAAATTGAATATGAATCCGAACCAGTGTCAGAGGTACTGATTTCATTTGATTCTGAATTCGGTAATAATAAGGTAATTAAACTACCAGTTAACAATCTTTTACTTTTCTCCCAAAATAATTTTCGATCTTTTTCATTTTTAGCATTACGAATTTTTGGAGGGGTGAATCTTAAAGTACAAGAGAATCCTTTTCTCCTATCAAAAGTAATATTTGCAAACTTTACCTGAGAATATATTTGCAAATCCCCTTTGTCATTCGTACCATTGTTATATCTAAATCTACCTCCTTCCTTTAAAATTTTACACAATTCTTTAGAAGAGTTCCAATCTTGCGATAATGCATTTATGAAACTAGATATACCATTACGAATAGGATTTAACATATCTTCCCTTAACAAGCGAAATTGTGTGTCAAGTAATTTAGCCGCTCCATCAGGTAAAAAATGTGGTGCATCAGGAAGAGAATATGGCAAAAAAGGTGTGCGCTTACATAAAATTTCTTCCTTTGTAGGAATAATTGATATTTTTGAAATTTCTTCAAAGTCGTTATCATGCCTTTTGCCATCGTTTGATAATTCACCAGGGGGATCATAAGATCTTTCCGCCGCAGCTTGCCTAGCTAGTTCATTACAATGCATTAAGTGTAATTCATCTTTATTTGGACCTTGTTCACCCATTAAACTATTACGTCCATTATTTAGAAGTTTACTCAGGTTTTTCATTTCTTTATCTAGTACAATGAAAAAATAATTCCTCGTCTCTAAATTATTAATCAATGGGTCTGTCGAAATTGTAGATGATGGTTCTCGTTGAATAGATTGTTGATATGTGGTCTTTAATCGTTGCAAATCATAAACGATTTGATGCATTGTCTTATTAATGGATGCCTCTCTAACACGATTTAATACTTCTGCGAGAAGTCGCACGATTATCAAGAAAAATATTCCTAAACTAGTAATCAAATTTAAAGGATGAATTGATTAATGTAGTGCTTCATCAATTTAATAGTCAAAAATTGGCACTTACGAAGATGGAATATACGAATATTCTTCATGTTCTAATAATTGTTCCACATTAACTTGATTGTCAACAACAGAATTACGTAGCACCAATGTTTCTAGCATATTCATGACATTCTTATTAAAGAGAGGGTCCTAATTTTTTTTTTTTTTTTTTTTTTTAAGATAAATAATAAAAACACAATTAGTTATTAATCCCAAAAAAATGAATTTTAACATTTCGCAAATATTTACTTACAAGATTGTTATAGACAATCATATAAATTGCATGAACATATTTTTCCAAAATACTTTCGGTAATAGCTGTTCTGGTCAATAACCCAAATAAAGGTAATATAACGTATTGAAAAGATAATACGTTTTGGTCGAGTCCTGCGTCACATGACATTGAAGGATAATTTATGATGTCTCTTAATCGTTTAAGACCACACTTAGAACTGGCTAATTCTGTTACGAATTCTTCCGCATCATAACCATCTGTTGCTACTAATGCCGAACTAACGAAAAGTCTAACCTCGTCCTGATCGAAGGGGATTACTTTCTTTAAAAATTTTTTCCATACATTTTTAATAGATCTTCCATTGGTGATAAAGACTAATCGATCACTACCATTATAAGTTAATTCGGAAGAGCGAAAATTAGTTAGAGTCTTATCTTGTTGTGCTTCCTTTATTTCCATAATTCTAAGTGTTGGTGTTCTTGAAGTATTATCATTGCTACCTCCGCTAGTCTCACCTCGTCTACGGTCATCGTATTCACGTCCATCATGGTGATAGCCTCTGTTACCTCTACCGCCTCTACCGCCACCGCGTACTCCACCAGTTCCTCTCGTGTTGTGACCGTTTCCACCTCCACTTCTATCACCATCATTATCACGATTAAAGCCAGACTTTTGACCGTTCTTTCTAGTCATAATGTAAGATATCAATCTTTTTATTAAAATATGTTATCATAAGAGAAGGTATCGTTTTTTTTTCTTCTTTTTAAAATAAAAATAATTTCAATAATACCTTATAAATGCCCATTGTTACAATTTTGATATGTCTTACATGTAGTGCAGTTATGCGGAAATTTATCTAATCTCCGATTAGTAATAACGTATCATTCAAAAAATTACTTTAATAGTAATATTTAAGATCTTCGGCAGGTATACAAAATTAACATATCATACGCCAGGGACATGTCGCATGTCGATCATAGCAAATGACATTTATATAGATGTCGATCATTTGATCGACAAAATTTTATATGCTTTTTCGCACTTTTTTGACTTTGCGTATAAGCCAACTGGACATTACTAACGTTTTTGAATTTCTGTCTCTCAAAAACATTTTTGTAAATTTTAAAAGTTAAACGGTTCGGTAGTTTTATTCAAACAAGTTGTCTATTATATGCCGATTTTAATATGTGAAAGTAATATAAATGAAACATATGTTGTATTAATGGAGAGATATTTAATTTTAATGATAATTTTTTTGATTTACTTTTTTTATTAATTAAAAAAAAATAATACTAAATGAAATAATGAAATTTTTTTTTTTTACAGATATTTTATATTTTATTAGAATAGAATATTAATATAGAATATTAAATTTTTTTTCAATAATCTATAATATATAATTTTAAATTAGTAAAATATATTATTTTCTTATTATTTAATAATTGTTCTTAAACTTCTACATATTTTTTTATTGTTTTTATTAACATTGTCTATTTAGCTAAAATGGAGTCATTCAAGAAAAAGATAAATTACTTATTTAATAAGGTTATTATTTCCGCCAAGTTGTATTTAAATTCAAAGCATTTATTAAAAGCTTATCACCATAAAATTTTATAATTTAAAAAATTTTTTTTTTATTTAAAAAATCGATTTTTTGTATATTACATAAAATCCAACTGAAAAACAAACTTTACAATCTAAGAGAATCTTCTTCCTCATATAAAATTACATATATTTTTGTTGTTAAAATTGTATATTTGTATCCACTTGTAAGAAGATCTTAAAAAACTTATTTTTAAAATGAAATTTTGCATAAATGTAAAAAAAGTAATTGTCTAAAAGGAAAATCAATGGTTATAATTGATTGAACACATGATGATCTATCAATTTCATAATTAATATGAGCGGTAAGTGTAACATATTATGATAGTTAATTATAGAGTAAAGTAACTCAATTATAATTACACAAAATTTTTTTAAAATGAAAATGATCTGCATATGACATATCTGACACTTGATATATGATCACCCTTTTTTCTTTTGTTAAATTTGATGTAATGTTAATGATATATTATTTATTTGCATTTTAGAAAATCATTGTCCCTATTAATCACAAAAAATTCCATCATGCTTACTCATGCTAACAGAAAGAAGAAGAGCTCTCTTTAGAAACTGAAAAATAGTTTATGCTATAAATACTAAAGTAACAATTCAGAATGAATACGTATTAAAGCACAACTTCCTTTTTTTCTGAAGAACTCAGTATTCAAAATATTAAAACAGTAATTATAAATCAATCTAAACTGAATGAAAATGTTACTCTCAAAATAAAACTTCTTACTAATACAATCTATAATAAGTTAAATCAAACCTTATTTAATAATTATAAAAATAACTATATTTCGCTAAAAGATAAATAATAACAAAAGATAACCCTATTATTGCCAAAAGTGTTGAAGGTTAATAATAATAAATTGCATGTTGATTTATAAGAAAAAAAATGTTGTTTTTAATGTTTCAGACTCACTTAAGTTGATATTCTCTATTTACATCCTGTTAACTTTAAACATAGCTCAAGTACTTAATGAAATATGAGTTCGTTATAAAAATCAAACTATTTTTTTTAAACCATAATTGTTAGATGATTTAGAAATATCTAATGTAAATAAACTGAAAGAGTTCAATTAAATATATCAGAAAATATTATTCTTTGTTACAGGAAGAATGAAGATTTAAATTTAAAAACTCCTATTTCTGAATTGTATAATACAAATGAAAATGTATTAGAGATTATAATTAATAGTAAGTATTATATACAATCAAAATTGGATTATTTATAACTTTTTTTAACTATGATCATTTATCACCAGAAATTATAAATAAAATTTCAAAATTAGCTATCTATGAAGATATACCTAATTTTGAATATGTATCTCTTGCTTCAATTATGAATTTAAAGATAATTCAAATTATATTCAAAATTTTTATAATTATATTACATTATGTCATAACAGTTTTAAATATAGAGATAGTTACATACCTTATATTTTTATTGTATAATCCTCAGGTTATGATAAATTAAGACTCATTAAAGAATGTGCAAAGCAGGTCTATACATTATACTTAAATTTAAGTATTAATCTGAATTATTTTTCTCATTCTATCAGCTTATGCAAAACAATTAATCAATTATTTAAAAGTTATTAAGGATCCAGTAAAATAGTTTAATAATTTTTTAGTAATTTCTATTTCTTTAATAGATACTAAACATAATCTAAGTGAGTTTTGAAAATATCATCTTAAAGATAATGGTAAAACTATTTAAAAATCTGCAATAGAAGTTGCAAATCATTGTGAAATTACTAAAAATCAAAAATTGAAAGATATCAGTACTGATGTAAGCTATTTAAAAGAAAAATTTAATATTCAATCTAATATTAAAATTTTGCTTTATGTTGATAAGAAAGAAATACTATTACAATATATTAATAACAATCTATCTATATCTTTATTTTAATGTTAGAGACAAGTACTTCAAATAAATACATGATGAGCAAAAGGTTTATTTTCAGTTATATTAGATACTAATTTGCAAATTTTAAATTTTATACCTACTTTAAGAAAAGATCTAACCATAAAAAAAACAATTAATCATAAAATATTCATGTTATTTGTCTTTATTTCTACTTTTAACTTTTTGGCTAAATCCTTAAACAATTATTATAATAAATTTTCTGAAGGAAGACTATATTGAAAGGTACTTAAAGATGCATATCTTAAAGGTTCTGAAACTAATGCAAGTGAAATTAAGGCATAGGAAAATGTTAAAGTTCTTGTAAAAGCAAAGTTATAAGAAGGAAGCAATAATTATATTAATAGTAATAAAGAAACAAAAAATCTACAAGTTTGATTATTCTTGCTTCTTTATGTTCTGTAAATATTTCTCTATTTATTCACTTTTTTTAAAATCTTATTACTAATTATCTTAGCATTTGTCTTGTGATCTCTTAAGATAAAACAAAAGCTTTAGCTTATTATTCATCAGAATCAATAATCACTGAAGCTATTTATAAACTTTTAAACAATAATGTATTGAATTGTATAATATAATCACTTAAACAAAGAATTATAGAATCTGAAAAACGTGGTGAATTAGTTGAAAAACTAATTCTTGTATTGATTCATCAAAGGCTTCAAAAAGAAACAAAATTGTAAAAATAATTACAGTGCAGAACCTCTATAATACTATAGTAAAAATGGAATAAATTTAAAATGCAAAAAATATTTTATTATATATAAAATTGAAAATTTAATTTATAAAATAAATAAACTATAACCTGTGCTTTAAGAATCTTAGATTAGAATTTTGATATCTTTAATATTGATAAAGTTATATTAAGTTAAATTTATTCAAAATTAATTATAAAAACTGAAATTAAAAAAAATATGTAATGATGAATTTATAAAAAAGATTCTTTTATTATTCATATATTTTAATTTAAATATTATTGTAAATTGAATTATATAAAGATATATTATAACATAATAAAAGAAATACATCGAATATTACAATTATACATAGATTTATTATAATAATTATTCCTAAAATATTAAATTTAGTTTTTTTAATTACAATTCAAAAATATACATAAAAATCATAGTAATATATAAATATTTATAAGAAAGGTATTACTTAAAATATGGTAAAGTTTGCAGCTAAAAAATATAAGTTTCATCATCATGCATTTAATGTAATTTATAATGAAATAATAAAATAAATTAAATTAAATTATTTCATATGATTTTAATACTAGTTTCTGATTGGTTTATATATATATTATATGGGAGTGTTTCTAGGAAAATCAGGTTCTGAAAAATTTTTGACTAAAATTTAAAGCTTAATACATTTTAATCTAATAACATCAAAAACTAAAATGCAATAAAAATCTCA